TTTTATGGCTGTTAATCCCTAATATTTTATTTTTGAAATGAGTTTTATAACCATATGGTATAGAAGCCTCCCTTCCCACTTACCTATTCTTCACTTTCAGCCATAGAGCTAATCATGGTAACCCACGAAGGGGATAACCAAAGAATATTTTCTCTGAATGGTAGACAAAACGGGAGTATTTTTGGAAGTAGGTAAGTACCCAGCAAATCTAGCACCTGTCAGTCCAAGGTGTGGTAGCCTAAAATCATCATCGATGTGACAGCTACTCTTCCACTGTGCTATGCTGACTTCTTGCTTGAGCCAAGGCTTGAAAATAAATAATGGCCAGTCACTGAAGACAGGAGCCCTCTGCTACAAGATACATTACATATTAGAAAAATGTTTACGTATTTTTGTTTTAAAAGCTGTTACTGAATATTCTGAGCAATGTCGTAACAAATGCAAAAACTGCATATTGCCAAAAATACCAGTGCTTGAAACAATCTGGTTTTTTCCCCCCTTTCAGTTCCTATGATCATCCCTCCATGCCTGAACTCCTGGAGTAGCTTTGTTCCCAGGCTTCTGATAGCCCCTACACCCCCATTCATTCTGCTCTTCATCCTGAACAACCTGTTCATCCTGGCTCTTTGTGGCTCATAAGCCTTCAACAGCTACTCAGTATGTACAGGAAAAGTTGGATTCCCCCTGGGTTCACATTCAAGGCCCTGTAAAATTTGAGCTTGGCTTACCTTTTCGATCATGTGTTTATAACCCTCTGATATGACTCCTTTCCATTCTATTAATGGTTCAACAAAGCCAACAGTCTTCTCCCTTTCCATGTGGTATAATTTCTCCTCCCCCTTTACCATTCAACCTCCATGTAAAACATCCTTACCACTCCTCTCTTCTATCCCAAAGACCTCCCAAAATTCAAGACCTAGCTCCAGATACACCACAATTTTCTCTCCTTTTGAATTTCTATAGTATTTGACATAGGAGCCATGATTTGTCACAAAAATCTAAAGAGACATTGATCACGCACTCTAAACTCTTTATCTTCCACAAACATCTCAGCTTATACTTTTACGTGTTTTCATGCACCTGTTTCAACAAATAGGTTATAAGCTCTTCAAAGTTCCCATCTTATACTTTTTTATATATTCCATAATAAATAATATAATCTCAGTGAACATTTTGTAAATTTATTAGG